TAGGGACGTGGCACGCTCTAGAGCACTCTTGCTCTGGGATGGAGACCAGCGATTTTGAAGGTGGTGGCTACTCCATTCTCCTCGGAACCTGAGCGGCTACGGTGAGTAACGCCACCCTCCTGACGGGAGATCCACGTGTCAAGTGGGCAAAAATAGCGAGTGAGCATCATCTCTAGTTGCTTGCAGTCACTACAATGTTGGGCTTGTTTGTTACCGCAACAGAATCTAGACTACCCTGACCGACTGACTTGCTGTTTACCGAGAACAACCTTGCATCTTCTTACTGGGGCACTTCCACAACCTGCTGGCTTTAGGTCACGGCTGAGAAGGAAACATCCTCTCGCCCCCGAGCTGCCGGTTACATGGGCAAGTTCCCACGGCTCTTACAGACTGGGCTGCTGGGAACCTGGAGGCGCTTGCAGGCAGCGGCAGCTCACATGAAATAGGAGATTCCCAAGAGAAGCAGCTGCCTGCCTCAGTTCCCACCAGCCGGGGCGTCCCCTCACCAGGGACCTGGGTTCCGCAATTCCTCCTGCGTGCTCACATTCCGTCCCGCAACTTCGTAGGATCCCTTAAATATTCCCCTAGCAGGCTTATGCAATCCTACTGCTGCCAACAAGCCCCTGGGCTGAGCAAGGCCCTGGTGGGGCATTACCATTCCTCCTCTCTGGGATGGGAATAGATTACAAGCACATCTAGCGACCGAAACAAAATGCCTGGACGGGCTCGGAGTAGCTACTTTCATCCTTCGAAACCAGAAGTCTGCACATCAAATGCTCCCAAGAGCCAGGCACCTCACCAAAATGAGTGAAGCGGGCCAGGTGGGGCCGCCGGCAGCGAAGGAGAGCATGCCTGCTCCTTCTAAAGGGTCGATGGTACTTGGCTGCAGGGGGTGAGCGTTGCTAGGTTTGAGATTCTGTGCAGAGAAACCAGCTATCTACACTCAACATAAAATATTTGGGTATAAAGTATTTTCAGCTAAACCACACCGTGGTTTTCGTCGGCACTTTTGACCAAATCTTTTGAGAACTGCCCCTCCCCAGGAATACGGTAGACACGCACGTTCCTCATCCTCTGGAGAAAAAACATGGCCATGTGACTTGCTTCGGCCAATGAGAAGTCAGCAGAGGGAACACACATCACTTCCGTGTGTGGAAGCTTTCAAAGCCAGGGCACCACGCACCCCAGCCCTTGCGGTTGCCTCCCTTGCTATGGGAGGAGTCTGGGGATGCTTAGGTGGCTCAGTGGGTTAAGCGGCTGCCTTCGGCTCAGGTCATGATCCCTGGGTCCTGGGATCAAGTCTCACATCAGGCTCCTTGCTCAGCGGAGAGCGTGCTTCTCCTTTTGCCTGCCGTTCCCCCTGCTTGTGCTAACAAATAAATAAATAAAATCTTAAAAAAAAAAAGAGAGAGCTAGGACTCTGGCTGGGTCCTTGACTTCTGATAAAAAACAAATGAGCAGAGGTTAACATAACAATAAAAAAATGAAAAACAAAACAAACAAAAAAACAAG